GTCTACCATTTTTTCTCTGTTTCTTGCCTCTCTCCTGTTTAAAAAAAAATGTCTGAGGGGTCCCAGGCTATCTCCCTGTGATGTCTTAATGCGTTGTTTCCTCTTTTATCTAAATCTTCCTCCTTTTCTTTTGTTCCTTTGTCTGATTCTTCTAAATATTTTTCAATATTTATATACACACTGTATGAAACATTAAAAAAAGAACCTCCACATTGCTCGTAGTTAAAAATCAATATCTCTCCTCTCCTTCCAACTAACTAGTGCAATACTGTCTTATCCTCAGTGTCTGGGAAGATTTATCCAAACCTCCAAAGTTGGACAAAGAATACCAGTCATGCCTCATTCACACCCATATACTTGTATTCTTCACATTAGCTTGTGTTGGCCAGTGTTTCATACTATTACCAGAAATCATTGCTTTTTTTTTTGAGATGAAAACACTATCCTTCAATATCAACTCAAATTTATCTGACAGCAACATTTTAATTAGCATAATGAATTAGCAACATTTTAATTAGAATAATGAAAACATTTTCAAACTTACCACAAAGGACTGACATTTGTTAATTTCTTCATTTAGATTATCTTGCATATCCTGGGTCATTTGCCATAAAGGATCCATTTTCTTTAGCAGTTTTTCCTGCAACATAACCATAGGCTTGAGTAATAGGGAAGATAGTTTTGTAGGTTTCATATTTTGTGTAATGGAATAAAATAGTGCTTGGTAATACAGTAATATTTAGTTTAAAAGAGTCAGATTTTTACAAATTAGTCTAAATTGATTTTACTATTTTAGATATTTGAAGCAAAAGAAAAAAAGATTTTGAAAGGAATCCATAGATAATAGATAATACAATCAATTTCCTGAGAAAGTAGTTTTTACATAACCTCACTATGTAAGGGTCCATCCTTCAGTAAAAGGAGCCCATGTTCCTAGTACTAGCCATCTGCTGTACTGCTGCCCCAATTCCACATATTTGGACATATATTTACTTCTTTATTTATTTTTCAGTACTGGAGATTGAAGCTAATGTTTCCCACAAAATAGGCAAGAATTTACCTGTGAGCTATATCTCAGACCCTTAAACAATTGAAAGAAGAACTGTGTCTTACTAGGTTGCCCAGTTTGGCCTCAAATTTGGGATCCTCCTGACTCAGTTTGCTGAATAGCTAGGATTATTGGCATAGCCACCATGCTCTGTCATTTAGACAATGTTTCTAGTGGAAATGTCCTTCATGAGCAGGAAATGAGCACTATGATTATAGTGTCCAATTGATCAACATTTAAACAGCATGTTTACCTCTTATGATTTACACTGAAACATCACCACCTCTACCATCTGCATTCTCAACTGCCTGATTATCATGGTTCTTAATTTCTCTCTTTGATCTGGACCCTACAGGTTCTAAGTTACTTCAGGCCCATCACTCACCCTGTACTCTTCTGCTGCCCATGCCACTGGGCTGTAGCTGTGAACCGCATGTTCGGGTGAGTCAGAACAGGGTGAACAGAGCAGGCTCTTGTCCACCTCACAGAAGAGCCACTTTTTCTCCCCATGTGTCCTGCAGAGCTGCTCCCCAGACCTGCTGTCAGAGGGAGGTGTGGCCTGTCTGGCAAGAGAAGCCAGCTTCTTGAGCATGATGTTGGTCCTGAAGTCTGACTTCTCTACTCTTTCTTTGCACTCAGGGCAGCACATTGGCATTTGGGCTTCTTCCCAGCAGAGAAAGAGGCAGGGTCGGCAAGAGGTATGTCCACAGTCTATGGTGACAGGTTCTAAGAGGTAATTCATGCAAATGGAGCATGTGAGTTCACTCTGGAAGTCTTGCAAGACATGGGAATCCATGTTTCTGAAA